CCGCCTTGGTGCCCTGTACATTTGTAGCTGTCTCCCAGGAATTACAAATTACTACTATTGTGATATTATTATTATTATTATTATTATTATTATTATTATTATTATTATTTACTTTTAATCAGCCCTTCGCCCAATCTGCCATTCCCCTTAAGGTCTCAGGGCGGCCCACAACCATATCGCCACATTAAAAAGTCAGCTAAATAAATTTACAAGCCCACACAGTGCCAACTCCCTCAGCCCCCAGTCCTTCCTTAAAAGACGTTTGTGAAGACTCAGCCTTAATCCTTCCCACTAGTGTAGTGAAGCATGTGTAAATGCATTTACTCATATTCACCCTCTGTTATTCACTCCTGCCTCATTTCCCATCCTCCCAACACTCTCTCAATGATTCAGATTGTATTCTGAGCAGAGGGACTGGCTGTAAAACCGCTCTGGAAATTGTAGCTCTGTGAGGGGAATAAAGGCCTCCTATCTAGACTTTGTTTTGTTTTTTTTTAAATAATATTTATTAAAGTTTCAAAGGAAAAAAAATCACATTAATAAAAAAAATTAACAATAAAAAAGAAAAATACAAAGTAGAAAAAAAAGAAAAAACAGTTAAAAACAATTCCATCTTTTCCTCACTTCTTTTACGTTTACTTGTTTCCCGGACCTCCTCATACCTCCCTCTTTTGTATTCCAATTAAATTTGTTAATCCAACAATTCCTTTCCCTCCTTTTTAATCCTAATCCTTAGTCCTGATATATTGTAACGTTAGATTTTTACATATTAAAAACCAATTTTTCCATATTCTTTTGTACCTATATAGCTAGAAACCACTTAACTTCAATCCAACATCATTCTAACATTCATTAATTTTACAATATTTCTGTAAGTAGTCTTTGAATTTCTTCCAATCTTCTTCCACCGACTCTTCTCCCTGGTCTTCTCCCTAGACTTTGCACCCTTTATAAACTACAACTCCCAAAGGTCTTTGGGGGAAGCCATGACTCTTTAAAGTGGTATCACAGGGCTTTAAATGTGTGGTGTTAGAGTGTTGGACCTGGGAGCGCAGGGTTCGAATCCCCATTCAGACACAAAGCTCACTGGGTGATCGGGAGGTGGGCAATGACTGCCTCTCATCCTGGCCTACCTCACAGGGGTGTCGTGAGGATTAAATGAGGAGGGGGAGAATCATGCATGCCACCCTGAGCTCCCTGGAGGAGAAAAAGGTGGGATATGAATGCAATGGAATAAATAAAACGATGATGACCTGCAGATGTGTCTTCTTCAACCTGGGGCCCGCCAGATGTTTTGGGATACAGTTCCCAAATCAGTCAGCACAGCTGTAGTTCGAAATGTCTGGAGGACACCAGGTTGGGAAAGACTGGTTTAGACACTGATAATATTTACGCACCTTTTTAGTGGCACTCCTGTGATTGAATTACAGGAGCTGGTTGATAAAACAATTTAAAATCTACCTTTCATCCGTATAGATCCTAATTTTATTTGCATGACACCTGTCCGCAGTTCAGACCACGCTCAAGGTGGCTCACAACATGAAAAACCACCCCTCCTGCAACGTAACGACATTAGTCATAAACAATAAATGAAACATTAAAAATACTTTCACAGATTTTATCCCCATGCTTCCCCACATCACTGAGCCTTGTCTGGCGGTTCCCTCCCTGCGAGAAGCCAAGTTACAGGGAACCAGGCAGAGGGCCTCCTCGGTGGTGGCCCCCGCCCTATGGAATGCCCTCCCACCAGATGTCAAAGAGAAAAATAACTACCAAACTTTTAGAAGACATCTGAAGGCAGCCCTGTTTAGGGAAGCTTTTAATGTTTAATAGGTTATTGTATTTTAGGGTTCTGTTGGAAGCTGCCCAGAGCGGCTGGGGAAACCCAGCCAGATGGGTGGAGTATAATAAATTATTATTATTATTATTATTATTATTATTATCATCATCATCATCATCATCTCCTTGTGCACGGCTGCATTCGGTTTTGCATCCCTTCAGCCGCACATCCCTCCTCCTCTCTTGTGCTTTCGCTCTGCACCTGAGTTTGCGGCCGCCAACTCCAGGTGGTGCAAAATCCCGCTTTTGAAAAAGAATTGGATCCGGATCCAAATTTGCCCAGAGGAACTCTGTTTAGTTTGCAATTCTGCCAGGGCGATGGAAAGGGCTCTGTGACCAAGCGCATGCTTTCGTTCCGGGGGGTTGGGCTAGATGACCCTCGGGGTCCCTTCCACCCTGACAATTCTTGTGATTCAATCCCTGGACTCTGCAGTTTAAACGCCTCTTGGGTAGCAGAGGTGGAAAAACCTGGTGTGGAACCTGATGCCCTCCAGATGTGGTTGGACCCCAACTCCCATAATTCCCAGGCAGTGTGAACAATGTCTCAGGGAATTATGGGTGTTGTAGTCCGGAAGGCTACGGCTCCTTTCTCTCTCTCTCTCTCTCACACACACACTTGGCTTTAAGCCCTGGGGAGCTGCTGCCAGTCTGAGCAGGCAACACTGGTCTGGAGGGACCAGGGGCAGGTTCCTGTGCTCAGTCCAAGGCCAAGGGGTCAGGCACGTACCTTTGGCAATCCCGACTGACTCAACAGAAGAACGCAGCCCCAAAGCGGACATGTGGGCTGGTTAGTCCGGATTGTCTTTTCAGAAGAAGTGTAAACAGATCAATTGGGGGGGAACAGGACCGTCCAGATTCCAAAGTAGCTGACGATCGGAGGGGAAATGGCGGTGTTGTTGATGTTCAGCAAGAGCAATGGAGAGAGAAAGTGCATTTTGGATAGGGGCCACATGCAGGTAAGTAGGCATATTCCTATAAAACGGAGAGGGGGGGTGTCTTTGATTTTCACCTCTCCCCCTTTTGCTCTCAGATGCCTTTTTTTAAAAGAAAGCCTGTCTCGCTAATCCAGATCTCGTAGGTCGTTGTGTTTGGGGTTGAGATAATCTGTTCCTTCAGCTCAGATTGGTTGGTGGCAGAGGTGGCCCGGCCCTGGAGGGCGACGAGGTGAGTCAGTGGCCTCAGGGGGGGCTCAGAAAACAGGCACCAATATGGGGGGCAGCCTGGGACACAAACGGATCAGACCTCGGAGGCCAAACTGCCTGCTCTTCTTGTTCAGCTCTGGTTTGCTGGGGCTCAGGTATGGGAGTTTCTTACTGGTTCATGCCCTGTCTCTGTTACTGGGAAGGAGGGTGCCATCTATGCTGAGCAAGTTCTGGTGGATTTGGTGGTCTCCGCCAGGGGGTGTTCACCAGGCGGTGCCAGGGGCGAGGAGGGCATCGAAATGTGGCTCAGCTGATTTGCTCTGCATGGACAGGGGTCTCCTCTTGGTGGAGACGGCCTCTGGATTCTGCGATTCCACAACTGCGGGTTTGTTGTTGTTTAGTCATTTAGTCGTGTCCGACTCTTCGTGACCCCCTGGACCAGAGCACGCCAGGCACTCCTGTCTTCCACTGCCTCCCACAGTTTGGTCAAACTCATGCTGGTAGCTTCGAGAACACTGTCCCACCATCTCATCCTCTGTCATCCCCTTCTCCTTGTGCCCGCCATCTTTCCCAACATCAGGGTCTTTTCCAGGGAGTCTTCTCATCTCATGAGGTGGCCAAAGTCTTGGAGCCTCAGCTTCACGATCTGTCCTTCCAGTGAGCACTCAGGGCTGATTTCCCTAAGAATCGATCTGTTGGATCTTCTTGCAGTCCATGGGACTCTCAAGAGTCTCCTTCAACATCATAATTCAAAAGCATCAATTCTTTGGCGATCAGCCTTCTTTATGGTCCAGCTCTCACTTCCATACATCACTACTGGGAAAACCATAGCTTTAACTATACGAACCTTTGTTGGCAAGGTGATGTCTCTGCTTTTTAAGATGCTGTCTTAAGAAAGTAAAATCTCTCACTGCCTCCATTTCTTCCCCTTCTGTTTGCCAGCTCTCCAGGGAGTCTTTTCTTAGCTACCTAGCGATGCCACTGGGGATTGAAGCTGGGAACCTTCTGCATGCCAAGCACATGCTCTTGCGCTGAGCGATGGGTCTTTGCAAGGACGGTTCTGCATATTTGGGGAAAGGGGGCAAGAGGTTGGGGCAAGGACTTCCTCTGCCCTGTTCCCTGCTTCTGGCGCAGTTCCGCAGCCTTGTTCAGAAATGTTTGTGGGGCTGAGCGCTGCAAGAATTCTGGCTTGAATTAAGCCCCACACGAAGAATCCTTTCCCCTGACTCTTCTCGGAGGCACGGGAGGCTGCAAAAAATTAGAGGGAGAGAAAACTGAGTCGTGGCACGGATTCAGGACACATGTGGGAGAGTACTTCTTTGCACGACACACTTAAACGGCGGGGTTTGCTGTCACAAGATGTGGCAGCAGACTCTGGCTTGAAAATGGGATTAAAGAAGTCTACAGAGGAGGAGAGGTCTGGCAACAGCTGGTAGATATAGGAAGCCTTTGCGTTCGGGATGAAGACATTCGATACAGAGCTAGGCCACTGGCCCATAGAGCCTATTGCAGCCTCTTCTGGCTGGCAGCATCTCTCCCAAGGGCCGCTTTGCCTATGCTCTTGTAACCTCTAGGTTAGATGACTGCAGCACATTATACGTAGGGCTGCCTCTGAGGACGGTTTGGAAACATCAGCTGGTGCAGAATTTGGCAGCCAAATTGTCACCGGGGCAAGACGGTTTGCACATATTACTCTGACCCTGGCTCAGCTCCACTGGCTGCCCATTAGTTTCCAGGTCCAATTCAAAGTGCTGGTTTTGACCTATAAAGCCTTAAACGGCTCAGGACCGCAATACCTCAAGGAGCGCCTGTCCCCGTATGAACTGACCTGGGCACTAGGATCATTATCTGAGGTCCTTCTTTGTGTGCCTCCTTCACTAGACATCTGGAAGGCGGCAACACGAGAACGGGGCCTTTTCTGCAGTGGCTCCCCATTTTTGTGGGCTGCTCTCCCCAGGGAGGTTTGCCTGGCACCCTCCTTATATATTTTTAGACGCCGGGTGAAAACGTCCCTCTTTAGCCTGGATAGCTCAGTTGGTTAGAGTGTGGTGCTGATAATTCCAAGGTTGTGGGTTTGATTCCCATATGGGACAACTGCAAATTCCTGCATTGCAGGGGGTTGGACTAGATGACCCTCAGGGTCCCTTCCAACTCTACAATTCTATGATGACCAGGCCTTTCACTGATTAATATTCCAGGACCTTTCAAATTTGTTTGCGAGGATGTGGTGGTCATTATTCTGTTTTGCTTTAACTATTTATTTTGTGCTCTTATCTTGTGAACGTCTCCGAGATCTTTGGGTGTAGGGCAGGGTATAAATTTAACAAAGAAATAAGAAATAGGTTCATTCTGCTACATCTCCAGTTCGGAATGGATGAGGCCCCTGTCTGAAAGCTAGGGCAGTTGCTGCCAGTCCCCAGGACGCAGGCAGACTCTGGCAATGCCCATTCTGTGTGTGTGTTTTCATCCCCGCTGCGCAAAGGGAAAGATGGCTCTGGCCACTTTTGTCTCTGGCCCTGCCCACCCTTCCATGTGGCCCCTGGCAGGCTCCCCAGAAGAGAACATGGCCCTCGGGTTCTCCATCTTTGATGTAGGAAAATCCTGAGGTTGATGGACCAATATTTCGGCATGATTTATTTATTTAATAAAACCTCTCTACCCCTTGGTTGTTTAAAAACACCCTCAAAGCAGCTTGCAAAAAATAAAATAAAAAAGTGAGACAATAACATTATTAACAAAAGCAATTAAAATGTTCAAAAAAAAAAAAAGTAATAAGCTAAAAGCACACCAGCGTTCTGGATACCTGGCTAGGCTTGTCGAAACAAAAATGTCTTTAGCAGGTGCCGAAAAGGGTACAGTGAAGGCGCCAGCCTGATATCAAGTGGCAGGGAGTTCCAAAGTGTAGATGCTGCCAAGATGGATTTCTTATGGGTGTGGAGTATAAGACAGTTTCCTGCTACTCCCAGAGTTTCGAGGAGAGATCTTTGCCAGATCTTCTGCCTGAGATTCCTTTTTAACTGAGGTTGCTTGCGATTAAACCCAAGACTTGAGCTACGGAGAAGTAGCAGCAGAGGTTTGCTGGCTGCCTTTGCACTTTGCTTGCGATCTTCCTGGAAGCATCTGGCTGCAGCCAATGAACCCTCCATCCGATCTGGCACAGTGCTTCTTACATTCCTAGTCCAGTTTTGGGGTCAGTAAGGACTCCCTGATTCATCCTCAAACTGGCTAAGGAACAGAGGAGAAGGTCAGGAGGCGGTCCTCCCTAGCTGCTTGCGGCTTGGCTCGCTGTCTCGAGTCACCTGGAGCTCTTTCCACTGCAGGCACCTGGTAGCACCTGCTATTTTGCTTTTGGCACTTCGTGACCCGTGTTGCGCTTCCTTCCCTGCAAAAGAGAGGAAGGCAGCCTACGGATTCTCTGCAAGTCTGCAATTTGATCAGAAGCCAGCTGCAAAAATAAGCTTTCCTCTCACTCTTTCTGCATGGCTTCCCCCCCCCATCCCCTTTTCAACAAAAATGCATACTTTTTTTCAAAGTGTGAAGCTTCAAACGGGCGCTTGGTGCTTTTTATTATTATTATTAACTGCCTTGAAAGTGTGGGAATTGTTCCAGGCGAATTGGTAAACAGGAAGGCAAGCCTCCCATTCCCCCGGGATTTTGCTAACCCCCCCCCACCCGGAAAAAACCAAAACCTGTTGTTTCTCTCCCTCCTCACGCCTTCAGCATCCCTCTGCAGAGAAAATGTTTAGCTCCAGATCCGGCCAGCTGTTCTCCTTGGGGATGTGCTGGAAGACAAGAAAGCAGTGTTAAGGAGCCAGGGCACTGCAAAGGTCGCACTGTTTTCCTCCTGTTTTCCTCCCCGCTTGGACGAGGGACAAGACCCTAGCGCTGGAGGAAGCTCCCTGCTCCTTCGCCTCCCCCCGCAGCCTCCCCGCCAGCCATCTGTCAGGTGCACAGGCTGGGAAGCCTTAAAGGAAGGGCTCTGCCCCATCCCCAGCAGGCCCAAGGGGGCGAGACCCTTCCCACATCATTCCCCTGTGGCAGGCCTGGGAAGCAGTTTTGCAGAGGAGGCGACTTCGCTGTTTCCTGCAGTTCCAGGTCTCTCGCATCTCCAGCGTTTTTCCAGGCCTGCCGTCAAATTATCCCCTGTAAATAGTGGTTTTTGCCGCTGAGGACATTCCACCCGGTTTGGCACTTTCTTATGCTCCAGGCTCAGATTAGGTGGGGGGGGGGGTTTTGGGGGGGGTGGTTGTACACACAGGAGTAGGAGAGGAAAAACAAAGACTGACATTTTTGCATCAGCCCCAGATTTGACATCAAGGAAAGCGTTAACTGCAAATTAGGACAACGAAGCATGCTTCTCCATTTTTGTCCAGTTCTGGGAATCACAGTTTATCGGCAAGGTAGAATGTGCGCAAAGGAGGGCGGCCAAGATGATCAAGGGTCTGGAAATGAAGCCGTATGAGGAACGGTTGAGGGAACTGGGGGCGTTTGGCCTGGAGAAAAGAAGACTGAGAATTCAGATACAGTCATACCTTGGGTTACAGCCGCTTCAGGTTGTGTTTTTTCAGGTTACGCACCCGCCAAAACCCGGAAGTACCGGCACGGGTTACTTCTGGGTTTCGGCGGTCGTGCATGCACAGAAGCGCTAAATTGTGCTTTGTGCATGTGCAGAAGCGCTGAATTGCAACCCGCGCATGCGCAGACGCACCGCTGCAGGTTGCGAACGTGCATCCCGCATGGATCATGTTCGCAACCCAAGCGTCCACTGTATTTGAAGATATGATAGGTAAAGGTAAAGGGACCCATGACAGTTAAGTCCAGTCGTGGCCGACTCTGGGGTTGCGGCGCTCATCTCACTTTATTGGCCGAGGGAGCCGGCATGCAGCTTCCGGGTCATGTGGCCAGCGTGACTAAGCCGCTTCTGGCAAACCAGAGCAGCGCACGGAAACGCCGTTTACCTTCCCGCCAGAGCGGTACCTATTTATCTACTTGCACTTTGACATCCTTTCGAACTGCTAGGTTGGCAGGAGCAGGGACCGAGCAACGGGAGCTCACCCCATCACGGGGATTCAAACCGCCAACCTTCTGATCGGCAAGCCCTAGGCTCTGTGGAAGGGCAGTCACATGGAAAAGGGAGCAAGCTTGTTTTCTCCTGCTCCGGATGACAGGACTCAAACTGACAGATTCAGAAACGAGAAAGGAGATTCTGACTAAACATAAGGAAGAACTTTCAGATGGTGAGAGCCGTCTGACTGTGGAGCAGACTCCCTCGAAAAGTGTTGGACTCTCCATCATTGGATGTTTTTAAACAGCTTGGATAACCATCTGCCAGGGATTCTTTAGCTGTGATTCCTGCATTGCAGGGGGTTGGACTAGATGTCCCTTGGGTTCCCTGGCATCTCCGCAATTCTGTGATAATGTTGCCGGGAAACCTGGGTACCCCAGGATGCTCCCTGGCCAGCCAGGTCTGCCAGCAAGGTCTGAGCCAGACGGCTGGAGGAGAGCCTGAGAAGCGATTTGAAATCCCAGGCAGAGGCCCACAGGAAATTGCCTCTCCAGCCCACAGTTAAAGCTGACCTCTTGGCAGCCGGTCAAACTGCGTTCCCTGCGAATACCATAGAGTCTCTGTTCCAGGCTAGCGGGCAGGCGAGGGAGAGATTCCCTTGGGACCGGCCAGAGAGGAGGAAAGGGGAGGAGAGGAGAAAGAAAACAAGCATGCGCGATTGCTGGCGCAGCGCGCACCAGACTCAACAGTGTCCTGTTGTGGAGAGCTACACAACAAGGTCTCTCCTGCCCCGGCTGCCCAGAGGAACCCAGATCCCAGACCTGTCAGGATTCGGATAACTTTCGGATGCTGGGAAGTTGGAGCTTGAGCTGGTTTGCTGCCTCTTCTTAGCATCAGAAGCTGAGCATGGAGATTTCAGGCAGGCCGGCACAGGCAGTTTTGACACCTACGACCCTTGCTGAAGTCTCCGCTTGGTTTTTCCTGGGGAGACACCAAGGCAGCTTGGAGGATGCCTCCCCCCAAAAGGTCAGACGCCTCTGAAATTGACTGCCTGGGACTGCATCAATCTCCGCCATCCACAGAAAACCTTCAGATTTCTCCTTGGGCGCATACAAGTGTTCCCCGAAGCATTTTGAGGAACCTGGATTGATGGATGCCTTTGCCCTCCAATGGAGTCAGCCTTGGTTGGATTGTGCTGCAACTCTGGTGGTTTTGGGGACTTTTGCTAGCCACTGACAGTGCAAGGATCCTCTTGTTGTGGGTCCCTTTCCCAAAGGTGCGTTGGTCATATCAAGAGAGGAGGAAGGCTGTCAGAGAGCATCCTCTCTGGGTAGCAGAGATGCGGCGCTTTGAGGCTCTGCGCCGCTCCTTCCCATTCCTGGCCCGCTTCCGCATGTACACGGTAAGAGAATGATGCGCGCAGACCCGTTTGCAACGAGGAAATCCCCTGCCTCCTCTCCCTTTCGGCGTTGGTCTTCCCCTGCTGCGAGCATGCAGCCTGGCTGGCTTACTAGAGCCACCTCTTTAGCTGCTTGCTCTGTAGGCGCCGTTCCTCCACACCCCGCTGTGGTCTGGGTTACGAAGGTCCATCTCCGGGAAACTGAACCAAGGATAGTCCTGCTTTACTTTGGGGTAGGAGGGTGGGTAGGGAACTTGCGGCCTTCCAGCAGGCAGCAGGGCCAATATTCTGGGATGGCAGGAGCTGGAGTTCAGCAACACCAGGGGCCCCAAAAGGTAGCCACCCCTGGTCTAGGGATCCTCATGAGAAAGCACCTTCCGCGTAGGGCTAGAGACTGATGTAGGGACTGGTGCAAACAAAACCAACCTGGGTCTGTGCATCCTCACATGTGCCTGGCACAGCACGTTGCATAAACCCTGCAGCAGTGGCGCAGTGTCAGAATCTGGACAAAAGGGACCCGGCTTTTAAATCCTTTCTCAACCGTAAACTCACAGGAAAATTTCCCATCCATGCAGCGTTGGGGGGGGGGGGAGACAGTGGTCCTAATTTGTGTGACATCAACACAGACGTGGCGGCTCATCGCAGTCCTTCCTTTCCAGGTTCCAGCTTTTTGCTCTTCTGAATTTTGT